TCTCCTTCCAGAAGGCAGTATATAAAATTCAAAACCAGGCCAAACTCATGTAGGTGTTAGAAATCAGGAAGTTACTCAATTGCTTTGTGAGGTAGGTTAAGATTAGGAGGAATGGAAAAGCTTCCAGGGTTGTTTGTGGCCTATTGCCCTATTTCCTGATCTGAGAGCTCATTACATTCATTTGTTTACTTTGTGACAATGTATCAATTATATGTTTGGAATTTATGCATTTTCATATTGCATTCAAAAGCATACATTTAAATAAAAGGTTTAAGCCAGTCTCAGCTCAGGGGTAGACCCCTTGCCCAGCAGGCACAGGCTGGGGAAATCTCTTTTTGCCTATTTAACTAAAATGCCCCAAGTTATTGCTAGTCAGTGCTGCTAGAAAGCATGCATGCAGGGTAAAGGAAGGCAGAGTGGCAACTTGAGGCAACTGATCCCAGTGACTTCGATTCTGTTCCTGGCAACTCCTGTCACACACAGCGGCCTCAGAGAGGTTGACGGCACAGCAGTCTGCTTGAGCAGCCATAACCAAGTATCTTACATTGGGTGTCTGAGTGACAGACATTTTCACATTCCTGGATGCTGGGAGTCCAAGGTCAGAGCACACGCATGGCTCGCTGTGCTGAGAGCTCTCCTCCTGGCTTCAGATGGCCGCCTTCTGCTTGTGTTTTCACAGGAAACGGGGGGGCCGGGAGGGCTTTCTCTTCCTCTTCCTGTAACGTCACAGTTCTTTCAGATTGGGATTAGGACCCTCCCCATATCACCTCCCTTAAGCTTAATTACCTCCTAAAAGCTCCATCCAGATACAGTCGTGTGGGGAGTGAGGCTTCAACATCTTAATCTCGGTGAGCCATGTTTCAGCTCACAGAAGATGTCCATGTGTCCCATAGACTGCGTATGTTATGACTTTTAACAGTCCGGATCTCCCTACACACCAGCAGGACACACTCCTACTTACAGCTTTCTTTACTCACTTTGTAGGATATTTCCGTTCCTTTGCTAATATTCCCTTTTCTCAACAAAACTGGGTCTTCTTGAGTACATTTCTGCATACTTTTGTTGTATTTTCTCTAATGTACTATTTCTGTTCTTAGCATCATACTTTACATAGAGAGATTCTTAATCAATGTATGTTTCATACTGGAGTTGTGGAAGTGTTTACACCGTTTACTCTTCTACTTTTATTTGCATGCTTTAATTAAAAACAGGAGGTTCGCATTCTCTTCAACCTTTTTCAGAAATTAGAGAGGAAGCATGGAGAGGGCTTTGTAGGGATGCTGGCAATGTTTTATTTCTTGACCTGGATGGAAATTATACAATGATGTCACTTTCCTGTATATACTTCATCAATCACCACAATTATTATTTGCACACCATTATATGTCATATACTGACTGCAACACATGACATGTAACATTTGTATGACATGTATACATACTGTATATCATATTTATAATATGCTATGTTGGTATGAGTTTTTATAAACAGTTATGCTCACATATTACTTGTTGGGGTGAAAATTAGTACAATGTCCTTCAGAAGAATTTGGACCAAGTTATGAAAATTGAAAAGATGTTTATGCTTTGCCTGAGTCATGGCTGGTGGAGAAATGAGCCATGATAGCATGTGAAAACATAGCTTCCAGATCCTCCATTGCAGTACTTTTTATAATAATAAATTTTAAAAACAGAAGAAAGAATTCAAAAATTGCATATTGTACAACGGGCTATTATTCGGCAGCTAGTTAGATCTGTATCCTAGAAGGATCTTCAGGTTGAAAAGCACACAAATGCCCTATTTGTGATTAAATACATGCACTTAAACTTTGCATGCTGTTCACAGAGAACCTCTAGAAGGAACCCAGGACACTGGTAAAGTGAATTCTCCTTTGAAGAGGGATAAAAGTCAATTTATTTTTCACTGTGTACTCGGCCTGATGAACACTGTAAATTTTATATATACATGTAACATATTCAGAAAAATAGATTCGTTTTGCTTCTGTCTTCACTCTTATACAGGGCCTCACTGGGCACTGCACAATGGAGAAGTTCATCTTTATGGTCTCATAGCAGCCTCCAAATCTATCCCATGGAGCTAAGGTCAGACTCCTCCTCCATGATATTGAGCAAAGCAGTTAGGTCACTCTTCTGCCAGTGACCTTATTAATTGAGTTTAGATCACATGAGAATCTGAACACATTTTTAAAATTCAAAGTCCCTTTGCCCTTTTTGGTTTCTCTCCCCCTGGAAGGCAGGGAGAGCGTGAAAGGCAAGTGTTCCATTTGTCTTTAGTCAGATTTACAAGTGCAGTAACCTGGTTGTCAAACTGGAAGGAAAGGGAACCTTGGGAGACATGAATTGAATTGCAAAGAGGGAAATAAGTTCAGTGTCATATGTGCCCCAGATTTGTGACAAGCAGACTTTAAGAAGTGAGATCGTATCTCAATGGTTTAAGCATCCTGAGTGTTTGGGGGTTTTCAAAAACAAACAAACAAGCAAACAAACAAGAAAATCCACAACACTATGACCAAAAGTAAGGCAGAAAGAAGCACTTTGAAGAATCCAGGCCTCTTTCCCAAATATTCTAGTGTCACCTGCAAGAGACGGAAGGGAGCACAAGGGCAGGAGAGAGGTGTGGGCACACATCACGGCTAGCAGCAGCAAGACTGAGTGAAATACAGGTGCCCAGAATTTGCACTGACAATTTGTACAGATGTTGTGACAGTGGCATTCAGGGCCAAGAAAGGCTTGAATTCAATGTCATTATTTGTTAGGCCAATACAGAGACCCAAACTAGAATTCAGCGATGATGTCATCCAGACAATTTGTTTTAGTATGATATGCCTCCGGCAGGGTCTGGGCTTACACTCCATCTCTCCTTCTGGTCTGCTTTCCACTTTGGCTCCTCAAAGGCCTGGACGCTAGCCCGCTGTGGTGGTACACTTCTGAGCTCGGCACCCCGGGAGTCTGAAGCCGTCACGAATCTGAGCCCAATCTAGGCAACTGAGCAACTTGGTGAGACCCTGACTCAAAATAAAACATACTGGGAAAGGTCGTACTTGTAGTTCAGGGCCAAGGCCCTGAGTTCAATCCCCACTATAGGGTCGCGGTGGGAGGTCGCAAGGCTCTGGAGCAGACCTGCATATGACTGCGCACATGCCTCAGCTTTCTCATCTGTACAGTGAGGACAGTATCTATGTCCTGTTGCGAGAATTAAAAGGCAATTCCAAGAGGGTCTGGAACGGAGGAGACCTTACATAAGTGCTAGCCATAATACTGATTATTGTTACTTCCAATGTCTGCATCTATCAGAGGGAGTTTTTAAGTGGCAAGAGCCGCACCACCACGGAAGGAAACCGTATGTCAACACTTGTAGGGTGTTGTGGCACATGAGGTCCCTTCCTCCAAGAGAGAGCTGCCCAGCATACTGGGCTGATGGCAGTGGGAGATCCCTGAGGCAGGTGACTACAAACCAAGGTCACCATTGATACCGAATGCAGATTTCGGTGCCCATTGAAGGCAGGGCCGAGAAGACCTCCAGGGGCCCTGCTAACTCTGAAAAGCACTGACTCCTTGCCCTTCTAGACCAGCAGCTCCATGGGCAGGCATGTTGCCTGATTCTTTTCCTGGCTTCACCTTGAAGTGGCTTCACCTGGGAATCTTTTGCGCACCAGGGTATGTGAAAGGACAAGCTCTGGGGTCACAGCCAAGACTTCTCCTCAAGTTGGAGTGGATCTGAAAATGGCAACGGACAAGGGAACGATTTCTCCAAGTGCTAACAAGATTGGGCACATTGCAAGCCTTACGCCAGCGGAGTGGGGGAACCTATCAGTCAACACTGTCCCCTACCGCTGAGGCTGTCACAAAGGCAGGTTGACAAGGCAGGGTCAGGATGCCCCGCCTGGCCGAGTCGCAGGGCGGGACGGACCGCACGCAGCGCTCGGCGGGCGACCGTAGTGCCCCCCCCCCCGCGGGGTGCTTCTAGGGCCTTTGATCTTTCCCAGGGAGCTGGCAAGGACCGCGCTTCCCTTTTAGTTTATTCCTCTCGGTTTATTTATCGCATCCGCTCTCTCCTCTTGCTTGCTTAGAGGTCAGAGCGCCGGCGCGCAAAGGAACCAGCGTCCCGGCTCTCCCTCCCAGCAGAGCTGTGAAGCCGGCCAGGGGCGCACGTTCCCGAGTCCAGGAGCAACGAAGCAGGGGAGGGAGAGGAGTCTTCCCTGGCCTGGAAGTCAAGCCTGGACCTGGGTCCCGGAATCCCCCGCTTCAGCTGGCTTTCTCTGTCGTCTCCCAGACACCAGGGTACCCCAGGGTTCCGCGGCGTCCCCACCCCGGAACTCAAGTTGCACTCTTCTGAGGGGCCGCGCGGGGACCGCGCTCTCCCGCGTCAGGCCCCCTAATCTCCACCCGGCCTTTCCGACAGAGTGGCCCAGCCTCAGCTCTCCATCTGGGCTTCTTAAGTCCCATTTATCTTCTTAGCACCTCGGCCGGGTCCTCCCCCCGCCCCCAAGCGCAAATCACAGCCCCACGCTCCCCCCTCTCCCCACCCCCTGCATCAGGGGAGAGCGCCCGCCCGACCCGCGGGTGCGACCCTGCAGGTGCCCAAGAAATCCCTGAACTTGGTGGAAGCGACCTCGCGGGGCGAGACCAGAGGAGGATCCCGCCGGGGAGGGGAGGCGTCCTAAGAGCCGAGTGTCAGGGCAGCGGCACCGGGTTTCCAGTGGCTGAAGTTGGTCCTTCCCGGGCCCCCAAAATAGGTCACCAGCTGGGAAGGGCTGAGTTGAGGGTTGCTGGACGTGTTGTGGGGCGGGTTGACTGCTTCCGAGGTGGGCAAGAGTGAACGGTGGCAGGCCTGCCCCTCTCCCTTCCATCGGATTGTAATTCCATCCCCGGGCGGTCGGGCCGCCCGCCCTGCGCAGCCGGGCCGTCCCTCCCCTCGGCCTCCGCCCCCTCCTGCAAAGCCCTGCCGCGCGAAGCCGGCTTCACTCCTGCACTCGACCTCCCTCCTGGCTGCTGGCTCCGGGTGGTTCCTGCTCCAGTCCCCTCCGCCCTCCACCTCCTCACCCAAGCCACGGGAGTCGCGGGTCCGCGCCCCTCACGTCCCCCAGGACACCCTCTTCCCCAGTGCGCCCGAGACTTGGAGAAACTTTGCAGGCACAGCGGTGACATGGATTTAATCCGAGGCATCTTGCTCCGGCTCTTTCTCCTGGCTCCCAGCCTCCGTCCTGGCGCTGCGCCGTTCCCAGCTGCTCTCCGTTCCCAGCCGCCAGGTAAAGCACTCGGCCGGCCCCGGGGCACCACGCCCCGAGCGCCCCAGTTCTGGTCCTTGGTCAGGCGCAAAGCGGACAGCGCAACACCCCTCGGTCCCCTAACCGGCGCCAGTATCACTGGCTTCAGCTCTGCCCACAGCTCAGCAGAGACTAGAACTTCTCCCTCCCCCAGCGCAGCGGTTCCGGGGATATTTGTTTGTTAAAAGAAACGATCTATTTTCCAGCCCTGGAGAGGTGGTGGGCTCTACTTCTGACCACAGAGAGCTGAGTTGGAGCAGGCATCGCACTGTCTCAATGCCAGAGGATTGTGACTGTGCGCAGGAGTTCAACAGCTCCTCCGGGTCTCTAAACATCTTATTGAATTCATATTGCCGAGAGCCCAGCCATTTCCTGTTGAGTGTCGGGAGGTTGCCCGGAGTCCCCCTGCCTGCCCACGCTCTCCGTAGGGATGTGGGATCCGTTAAGATCCTCTTCCAGCCTGAGGCCCTTAATGCTGAAAGAGAACCCACTGGGTTATTTTGATTGTGTTTTGAACTTGTCTTTGCTCGGCTGTTTAAACAAAAATGTGTGGTTGTAGGCTATTACAAAGGCTTGGCAATACTTGAAACACAGTAACTTGCATTGTCTCTACTTCTATAGGTAATAAGTCTGCATTTCTATTTACTTTGATTTGGCTCGTGTTATGAGATTATTCAAAATAAGACGTTCCAAACAATAAGTCCTAAGCATTGTTTCTCGATAATGATTTTTACTCTTCTTTGCTAGGAACATATTTAGAATTCTGAAAAAAAAAAATCTGTTTCTTTCTTAGCTTAGTTTGTGAGGGTGTCTTATGGGATTAATTATATCCTATGAACAATGGAAAACAATAAAACTGAGTCCAGTCTGCAAAACCTTACAGAAAGCGCAGTTCATCTTCGCAAATGTTTCTGCAAGAAATCAGCAAGCCAGGGAAATTTTTATCGGAGGGCAAAGAAAATCATCTCAGCAGGTTCGCATTTGTCTGCTTAAATATTTAGCTATTTCACTTAAAATAGCTAAACTGTGACTTGTGGCCATTCAGCCCTGGGAGAAATCCTCAGTCTCAGGTTGTGTCTATTGTTGCCTGTGCAATTGCTACCTGATAAGAACCACACTTAGGAGCCGTCCCATTTCCACACCATTCAATTCATTTTAGAGGTAACAGGAACAGTCCAAGGTAGTGTTTTATTAAATTGTTTCTCCTCTTGCATGCCGACATGCCTATGTTTAAGATTTCAATAAAGGGCTTCATTTGAACTTTACTGCTTAAGAGAACCACATTATGATCAACTGCATTTTGGAAGTTTCTTCACTTAAAGCCATCTAGTCACAAGTGTTGGGCAACACACAGATGTGTCCATAATTCTTAAGCCTAAGAAGTGTGTGCAGTGTCTTTAAAGGATAGCTTTCAACCCATCTCAGCAGAATTTTTCAGTACTTTACGAAATCCTGCAGTATAAAATTGCTCATACAGTTCACCTAACTTGTATATTTATTTTGCAGTTCTTTTCTTAAACATGTTCTTTGCCTGGTTCATTGAGGGTCTCATTCTTAAATTCATGCCATGAGTATGTCATGTTGGCTTCTGGTTTTATTTGAGATACAGAGTTTTGATAGTGGCAACTCTACATTTTAAATATTAAAAAAAAAACATCACAGTTGAGGTAAAAGGCATGTTTAAACTACTTTCAGCCAAGACAAGTTTTTTTTTATTACTTTATAATTTCATCCAGACATTGAATTTCAGGTTGGAAAGCAACTCATATTAAAATGACAGCTACTTCATAAACTTCAGGAGAAATTTTCCTCCTGGGCTCATTTACATCCCTTGGAAAGACTAGTTTTTGATCCGGAAAATTGGTCCAGATTAAAAAGTGAATGTGCCCTGCTTGGCTCTGTTGCGAACAGCAATGAGCTAATTTATAATCTTCCCCAGACGCGGGCGAATCCTGCTAGTATCCATTTGGGAGCATCTTTCTACCTTGTTTCCTCCATAGAAATGAGTTTATGTGCACTGCTTTGAAGATAGCGTGGCCTGGTGCAGGCATCCAGGGAAACCCTGTTTTGTTTGGATAGCTCTCCCTGTCTCCTCATGCCCCTAAATCTAATTCTCATAAGTACAGTGTTGTTGAAGTCTTGGATTCAAATCTACCTGAAAATTCCCCATCTCCAACTACCTCTTGAGAGAAAAAAGCCAAAAAGCAGGTAACACTTCAGAGATGATCACCCTTCACCCACTTGGAGAGAGCTCATTTTCTGGCACTGAGTAAAGAAACTTACTGCGTTTACTAAGAGTCACAAGAAGTGGCAGTTTTCAAATGAAATTAAAATGTATACTAATAACTGATGATAATTAAGTCTTTGCTACACTATTCTGAGAACTTGACTCCTACTGATTTCTTTAATCAACACCAATACCCCCATGAGAAAATAGGTACTATTATTATCCCTGTTCTCTGAAGGAAACACTGTGGCTCAGAGAGATTAAATATCTCACAACTAGTCTGCTTAAGAGAACCACATTATGATCAACTGCATTCTGGAAGTTTCTTCACTTAAAACCATCTAGTCACGGGGCCAGGAGATGGCTCAGTGGAATAAGCGCTTCTCTGGCAAGCACAAGGGCCTGAGTTCAATCCCCAGTTCTGAGAAAAAAAACAACACAAAAAACTCTAGTCACAAGTGTTGGGCAATGCACAGGTGTGTCTATAATTCTTAGGCCTCACACAACTAGTGTGAGGCCAAGGCCTTCCCAACTAGTGGGTAGGGGAATAAGAACTTAGGCTCTGATATTCAGGACCTGAACTGAGTCCATAGTAGCCCTCTTCACGGAGGGCTGTCTTGTAAGATGCCTTCCTCTAGGCTAGTGAGCCTCAGGGCTCTGGGGGCCAGGTGAGGAGATATCCTTGGTGTGGGCAGGAGCTGTTTGCTCACAGGATACACCTAGGCCTCCAGACAGGGGGGTGTGAGTGGTACCCACGTTGGAAATCACTGTGTATTAACCGGAACCGTAACAACCAAGCATGTTGCCTTATAGAGCAATGACGAACTACTTGCTTTCTCTTGACCTGTGAGGGCCAAGAAGTACACTAGAGTGCTCCAGAGCAGAAATGCCTGCCTCTGAAGAGTATTTGGGAGGGCAGGGGGCCTGCAAGTCTTCTACAGCATCTTCATGGTATCTGTTTCACTAGGTTTCCATGTATGGAAACACAATTTGTAGGAAAGCTTATTCCCTTATTCCCTTTGTAGAAAATCTACTCCCTCTGAGTTTTTGGTAACCAGTGATCTAAGTCTGTATTACTTTGCCTCTTCCTGTTCCATTTTATTACTTAGTGTAGCAGTGTGTTGTTGTACATACTGGTAGTTTCTTTTTTACTGCTCAATACTAGCCCATTGTATAGATCATAGCTCAACGCTGTTTATTTAGTCAAAACTTTTGAGTTGTTTGCAGTTTCAGGCTATTATGGAACTGGGTGGATATGATGTCATTTCTCTTGCTAAATAGTAGGAGTGAGATTGCTATATGGAGTGTACGTGGAACTTTATAAGAGATCGAACTGTTTTCTAGATTGGTTGTACCATTTTGTGTTCTTCCTATGGCAATTCTTAAAAGTTTTGGTTGCTCCAAATCCTCTGTGGAATTTGGTATAGTTGAGACATTTTTATGCTTGTTAGGTGCATGATAATATTTTCTCAGTGTTTTAATTTGCATTTCTTTAATTACTAGTGATATCAAACCTTTTTTCATGTATATATTTGTTATGTGACTCTCTCCTTTGTTGTTGAAACGATTATTCAAATCTTTTGCTGATTTTTTAAAAAAATTGTAGTGTTTATTTTCTTATCATTGAGTTTTGAAGGGTTTTTGGCATATTCTGAACTCAGGTACTTTATCAGATATTTGTTTCATAACTATCAACTTCCAGTTATGTGGGTGGCCTTTTTATTTTGTTAATGGTGCCTTTCAAAAAAGAGAAGATTTAAATTTTGATAAAGCCAATTTATCACTTATTAAATCACTCATGCTTTTTAAAAACGTTTAATTCATGCTTACACAGATATTCCTCTATGTTTTATTTTAGAAGATTTACAGGTGTCTTTTTATTTTAGGTTTATGATTTATGTGGGTTATTGTTTGCATAGTGTATGACATAGAAGCCAAGGTTTGCCTTCCTCTGTATGGGTGAACTGGCTTCATTTGATAAGCACTCATTTTTGTGGTAAGAGGCTTAGAAAAGCTTGTGGGAACTCCGTCCACACCGTCTAGTAGCATCCAGGCCTGCTTCTGTCTTCATATAGTAGGTGGTATGGAGAGACCTGCCTTCTCTCTACAAGGTTCTGGCACTGTTTTCTTCTTTTTTTTCAGGTTGATCCTGCTAGCCATATTTGAAGATGCTGCCAAGTGCTGAGGCTAGTGGTAGGGCACTGAGAGTTGGGGGCTTGCTGAATTAAAGGCTAGTGCTTCCCTCTAGTCCTGTAACCCGGGTGGCACTCTATTTAGACAAAGCTCATGGCATCGCTTAACACTGTGGCACAGATAGAGGGGAAGAAGAATGCATATAGGTCCTACCTTTCTTCCTACCTCGCCAGTTTGCCAGGGGTCCCAAGATCAATAGGTCAAATTGAGTTCAGAGTTCAAGATTTTCTCTGGAAGATCTGAGAGGTATACATTTATCCTGAGGGAGATACGCCCTTTTAATATTTTTCTTTTTACTTCTCCAGCATTTCTCCAGCCACATAACTGGGCTAAAAATATAGATCTAGAGAAACTCTGAAAGAAATACCAAAAGGCTAGAGTTCGCTTGTGTGCAGTGTACCTTGTTGGATGATGGTGGAGAATACATGCACTTCTAGGTTGTTTCCGCAGCTGCTGATACAAGGCTAAATGTCAGAGGCCGAGGGTCAGCAGTCATTCTGCCCCACTTCTCCAAAGTTACCCTAGTCAGCATGTGCTATTGTTTGTGTATGAATGTCCCCCC